GACTGAAGGGGAATGACTGTGGGTGGGCGGGTATCTGAAGTCCTACTAGGAAGCACACCGAGGAAGCGCATCGATGGTCCTTCCACCCTTCTCTTTGCCGGCGTACGTCCCATCCTCTGCCACCCTCGAGAATACTTGGCTGTAAAGTTTATTTTCTTCCTCGTCGAGCAATGCAACCAGCCGTGGCATTTGCAGAATTATGCCACGCAAGTTGAACGGAGGAACGAGAGGCGCTTTCTTGCTCGGAGCTCTCTCGACGGCGGATACGCGGATGCAAATCGCGGGAGGAAGTTCGTTGCGCCGATGGAATCCGCGGGCGAGGAGAAAGGCAGAGGAGAGAAAGAAAGCGCGCGCGTGGGAGAGGGAGTCATATTTCGATTTTACGTCGGGTGCAATTTGCGTCCGTAAGTCGTGGCGCGATACATCAAAACGGTGGATCGCGCTCGCGCCGTTCTTGACGCAGCGGCGCGAGCGTTATAATCCATTATGCGCGCCATCCATTTAATTTTAATATCGTAACGAGGCTCTGACGGGCGTTAATTCCTCGAGACAAGTTATGAAAAATCGCGGACGGATCGCGATGATATAAACGCACCCGGTACCTATAGACTCAATTCACGTTCATGAATAACACGTATATTATCGGTGCTTTGATACAACGCTACAATTTTCTTCCGCTTTCAGTATTTAGCACAGTTCAGTAAACCATAACTTGCGTGATATTACAGTAGAATGTTGCAGTAATATATAATGATATTCTCTAAAACTTTTAGGTGAATCTTACTTTGAAAAGTGAAATCTCACTCTCAAATATTGAGAATTGAGTCTTCTCTCTTTCTCTCTCTCTCAAAATTCATGACTGACAAAATCGAGATGTAGATAAATATTTTGATGTGACACACAGTATTTACTATTTAAATAATAATTACTTATTAAAAAAAAGACAGAATTCAATGATTCTTTTTTTTTAATATACTAATTATTCTATGGTAATTAGAAAGCCGGAAATTTATTAACTAGTTGTCTGGTAGCATTGTTTCGCTTACTTCGATGCACGGGGAAGCATTACTGTAAGTAATTTACACCGTTGGTTCGCATTTTCTTCATTACTCTTGCTCTCCGCTAAAACGCTTCCTCGTTATTCATACTCACTGCTACTTCTTTTACTTTTTGTCATTCTCAATGTAACACGTATTTATAATCCTCCTATTACGATACAAACGATCTCTGCGATAATTATTTGTATGTATACGAGTTTTTTACGCGATAAAAAGGATGACTTTCAGGATATTGTCTTTCGAAAAATTATTCAGTTACAAATTGGATTAGTACAACAATATATATTGTATTTTAAAAGATATGAGAGAGAAAGTGAGAAAAAGAGAAAGAGAAAGAGTTATTAAATATGTTTAGAAATAGCTCCGGAAAGATAACATCCAGTATTTATCCAACTGAATATGATAACTCATCGTTTTTACAAATTCCAACTTAAGATTATAGAGAAAAGGGTACTTTTCATTCTATCCTACGGCGACGCGTTCATTGGCGCGAATACTCGGTGGGTCGAGGAAGTGACTCGTTATCTTAAGAGAGTCATTTCGTCCCCTTCTCTTCCGTCTTTTCCCTCCTCGTAGAGGCCTCGCTCTCGACTTTTCACTCTCGACTCGAGTGCCATCCGCTACAGCCGTTGCTGCCGCCACCGCCATCGTCCCTCTAAGCTTCATCCGGGTATCGCCGGCAAAACCGACACTCTTTTCTCATCCTCACGGCGTTTTATTTATTACCCGCGGTTACTTCAATGGACCGCAGCATTCGGCCAACTTTCCGTCCTAAACTTACCGGGAGTACCCAATGTGTGAAGCGCGTATTCGCGACGCGAAACTCCATGCCGGATTCCGCACCGCATTCTTCGTAGACTAGTCTTTTAAAGGATAGTCACTAATTGTAGCCTCGCCTTTCAGAATTTTGAGGCAATCTTGAACGAGCTAAGAATTTCGATATTAAGCGCTTTTTATAGTTCAAACAAACTTTCTCCTGCATTTGACTCTCTAATATGTTTGGATATCTCTGATCCCATTTTATTCGATTATCTTAGAACTTACGTTTTAGAATACGTTGTTTTTATATTATTTGTTCATTTAGTTATAAATTGTATTATTTTGACACTAACAAATGTTGGATATCAATTTAATACGAAATATTCAAATAACATTATCACATTATGTTAAATTAACTTGAATATGTTAAAATTAAGCATGCCTCAAAATTTTAAGGAATGGACCGATTTTAACACAAATCCAAGATATTTTTACTGTGCTTTACTGAAAAAAGTTACTCATTTTATGATGTGTCACTTTTATGTCAATGCAGCGTGCAGCGATGTGTTCATGAAAAAAATGCCTAGTATCGTAGATCTATTTCTATAAAAAGATCTGAAGAGAAACATCTTTTTTTTGGGGGGGATATTTTTTTATAGGGATTTTTTTTGAAGACAATTTCTCTCTCTCGCTTTATATGAAACATTTAGATCTCGTTTTCAAAGTTCTATCTCTTATGTGCGGCATCATATATCTATCAAGTTTCTTCGATGTGGAGTACGTCGAGACGATTTCAATGATGCATTTAGCCAGGGTATTGTAGGAAATTAGTATCGAGCTGCTGCACAGCTTGTTCAGGATTTACGTTCCGGTGACACAATACGGCATAGTTACGTCGTCTGTCGCGTCGCCCGACGTACACCACAAAAAGCACCAATGGGAGAGCGATCACGAATAGATAATTATTACACATCGCTTGATACGTCCGGCATCAATAACGTACCAGATGCATTCAATGGCACTGAAAAAATCAAAATGCCGATGCAATTTTACAAAAATGTAGTATGCATTAAAACTATTCTCAAATTCTTGTTTTGAAAATTAAGTTTTCCATAACAAAATTAAGTACGTAATTCCTGCATAATATTTCATAAATTTTTGATTGTTTAAGGAAATAATGGAGCAACGTTTAAACACAACACGCGCGACTTACTTCTGTAAATACGCTGTTCGCCAATTATAACGTTAATTACTCAGAAATACGATAGCGTACATTATTTGTATTTATTTATATAATTAATAATAAAATAGCAAGAATTAGAATTAAATCAATGTAGAAACAAAGATTCAATTGATCAAAATTCAAACAATAAAATTAAAGGGCTCTGAATCAAACTTGATTTTAATGCTAGTTAAGTAATAACACTAAACTACAATAACAAAAAATAACCTAAATGTGGGCTAATGAGAGTCAGCGCGAGCGAAGGTGCGCAATAAATCTTCACAAATAAAATTTGTTACTTCATATGATGTGTTGATCTCATCTTTATTTGAAATATTGACATCTTGAACGTTTCGATTCTCTTTGGAATCTTCATCAGCAAATTTCTTAACGAAATAAAATTTCAACGATCGTCCGATGTAGAGTCACTCGCAGGTTGCTAAAACTGTAGTGTTATCCACACGATCGCCAAATCTCATCATGAAACCTTGGATTCACTAAACTACAAACAAGTCATACTAGTTCATACTAGTGAAAATGTTACAATAATATAAATTACAAATTCTGTGAAAAACGTTTAGACTCTACATTGTTAAATATAAAAGGAGCATTGGTAAATCAATCCTGTGATCAGTTTTGAAGTAAACAACGTCTATATTAACGTAAATGTTTTTAATAAATAATAATCTGAATTTGAATCAAATTTAGTATATTTGCTTGAATCGATTAATGTTATCGGTATTAGATAATAATACACGCGAGTGTTAATTAGCCATTAGTGTATCTATACTTAAATCTAGTGTTACCGGAAAAACACTGAAAAAATATTGGAACAACAAGAAACTGCATTTTCCGACATACATTACTTGTAATCGCGAAATTTCTTACACGAATGTGTTGTTCGCTGTAATTATCAGTATCCCCTCCTAGGAAAACCTTATTAATTACAATATAATATATTATATTGTTTATTTACGTCGCCTAAAGAGACGTTGTTCCTTCATATACCAATTATTGCGAAGAATATTACTAAGGCCTCGGTAGTCTAAAGGCTTAGGACGCTCGCACCGTATGCAAGAGATCCGGGTTCGATTCCTGGCCGAGGTAATATTTTTCGCAATAAAAATTAATTATTTACAGATTTTAATATGTTATTCATCATTATTAAGATCGTTTCGAAGATGCGAATAAGCATCAAAAAATTGTTAAAATTGCTAGTCAATTTAACTCGTGATATTACTGCGGTAGTTTAGTACAGTTAGCGTTTCAAGACCGAAAATTTTTCGGCGCGCGTTTCTGTGGGACTACATACGTAGTATATAAATTCACATAATCATACAAGCATTAAGATCCAGCTAGACTGTTTAAAGGCTTTGATTTATATAATTTGTGTTATCACATGTACGGTCCTATAATATATTATATTATAAAAAATAATATTAAACAATTTTTCAAACATTAATACTTACTATTTATTTGGATTTATTATACAGAACGTTATTTGTGTGAGATCATTAATGTATAACTATACTTAGTAAGCAAGAAACATTTCGGAACATTTCAGCAACATTGTAACGTTGTTATAATGTTTCTTGCTTACTGAGTATAGTTACATTAATAATCTCAAATAACATCTTGTATGATAAATCCAAATAAATACCAAGCATTAATGTTTGAAACTGTTTAATATCATTTTAAGATATATGTATAGCATATAAGAAGAAGAAGAACGCAGCCAAATGGACACCACGAGCATACAAAAGGGAAACTATCGCCAGTATCCAATGGAGTTGCGGAATTAAAAGAAAAAAAGTTATCCACGCGTTGTTGAACGAGATACAAGCGAACGTGATATTACGCAATAGAGAGCCAAAGACGACGGAATTTCCAGCTTGATTTAGGAAAAGAGTAGAGGAGAAGCATTGTACGCTTCCCCCCGCGACATATTGTATTGTACTCACCTCGATATACGACCTTGTTGAACACGCTGGTGATGATCTGCAGTTCGGGATTTAACGTCTCACCGAGCTGAAACAGAAAACAGCTTCTCTTTGTATCCAGTCTAAACGACAACGGTACCTTATATCGCAACTTCCATCGCCACGTGTACCGTGTCAGCGATGTGTCCTTCGTCGTTCTCTCCGCCCTGATATGTTTTCCATCGATTTCCCATGAAAAGGGGTTGCTCGGTCGGTGCTAAGTGCACCGCATAAAGAGGTGAAGGCAAAGAGTCGTTTCGAAAGTTCTACACTGGGCGCTATTAAAGGTAACCGTAAAACTCCTGACTAAACCGACCGTGGACTTTAAAGTAACGATAAATAATAAAAGTTGATGCGCGTGGCGTGGCCGCGTGGGCCCGCCGTCGATCAAAAGTTTCGCCGTTTCCCTATCCGTGGCACGAAATTATTATCGCCGCTTCCGCCTCGTTTCTCTGTTCCGTAAATAGAGGTAAACAAGGGAGATAAGAAGATAAATAAAATGAAGTGAGATGCGATCGGGGATGGAGTGCGCGCGGCAGAGATATTTCTCTTTACAATATGGACATATTCTGCAGTATCCAGATTTATGGATAATCATTAATTAAAGCTATCGATGTTGCTGCTGCATGAAAGAGTATTTTGCAAGAGTTATTGTGAATAAATAACAAGAAAACAATGTCTCCATTAGTCTTTGAGAACATTGTTTACTGCAAAAAGAAATATCATGTCAGTATAAAATATATTGAAAATGCATTAGAAGTTGCAAATTTTATGCATCACTCAAATATGGGTGTCATGGCAGTTAAAATATTAAATAACATATAATTGCGATAATTAAATTTTTTTTAAGATTAAAATTTTAGAACGTCATTAACGCTGAATTTTAAAAAAATCAACGTTCGAATTTAGACTTCATATTTTTGCAAACGTTAATAAATTTTATTAGCGCTTTGATGCAACGATTATTGGCTACGTAATATATCTAATATTATTGAAATTATCAAGAACTATGAATATGTAAAGAGGTGGTAGCGACTGTTTTACCTCTTAATCCAGATACTTGAGAATTACATAGGACGTAATCGAGATTCAGTTGCGAGACAGGTAAGCGGACGCCGACGGTTTAATCTCCGTTTAAATTTCTTGTAATAAAGGGAACCTAATCTTAATTATGAGCTAAGAGAATTAATCTCAATGACGGCCGTCCTTAAACGTTCTTAATCTCGTCGCTCAAGAATAAACTTAACTGGGAAAATTCGCGGTAATCACAATTTCTTCATATTCATTTAATCAAAAAAAGATTTTTCTTATCGCGAAATGATAGAACATTAAAATACACACTGTAAAAAAATTACATGTACAATTATAACAATTATAACAGGTAATTTTGAGATCTATTATTATTAAAGGTACATATTTACTCACGTAAAGTCACAATTTACAAATAAAATTATTCTTCTTCGTAGTAATCAAACAATTTGCAAAAGTAAATTTACAATTAGAGTTAAGTTTGTAAAAATATTTACATATAAATTCGCCAATGAATTACGTACAAATTTTCTTAAGCTGTGTATTAATGTACGAATAAAAATGTTAATACATTATATTATTGTGATATATATATATATATATATATATATCATGTTATAACGTATAAAAACGCACGATTTTACATAATTATGCTACAAATTGTATATTTTTATATATTTATCATTTATATAATTTTCATATTTTTTTTACAATGTAACATTTCGCGAATATCTCATTGGAATTTTCAACACAAAAATATATATCTGGAAAATATTTATTAAAAGTAATAGAGTTAAAAGTAATAGAGTTAAAAGTAATAAAAACATTTCTCCTACTATATCAAAAATTATTGACGTAATTCAAAAGCTATTTTTCGATTTCATTGTTATTTTGTTCAAATTAATTGCGATGTCCTAAAAATATATTTAATTTACTTATAAAGTCACTCTTTGCGTTTATACCTCTAATGTCCAGTGGAAAATACTGCGAAATCAGCTACATTAAATCCCACACGGTACAACCAAACCAAAGTCTATCTAGTTAAATCCGGTCTGCAGTTGCGGCTTACGCCGTCAGCATGTTGCTACTTGTTTGGCAAATCAACTGTACACTAATTTGTAATTGTAGCTTCGTAATTTCCGCGGCAGTTGGGCAATAAACAAGCTTCAACGACGACGCCCCGTCCTGAGATCGTATCGATCGCGCGACAAGGGTCCGTCCTTGTGGTTTCACTTCTGGCTATGATGATCGCGGATAAAGGGCATTGCGTTAAACTGGTGCAGGGAACAGCTACTGCTCGACTTCGCGTCATATTATGCAGTCCACCCAACGGACGTGGGGAATTAGCAAGCTCGATTCATTCATTCTCTCTCTCTCTCTCTCTCTCTCTCTCTCTCTCTCTCTCTCTCTCTCTTGCAGCACACAGAATCCTTCATGTCAACCAAATTTCTCCTTCCGTTTGATAGCACGGAATTCCTGTCTTTTGTCATTAGATCAGGACTACTGACTGGCAGTCGCGCTAAATTGACGCGTGGCGTAATTACAGGTTAGCAATTTCCTCGTAGTAGTTAAAGTGATAAACAACCGCACTAATTATTCGGCTGTATTGATTATGGGTGTATCCAGGGGGGAGGAGTTCGAAATCCTCCTTCAAGAAAGAACAGTTTTGCTGAAATAGGTATATAAAAACTTAATTAGATACAAATTTGAAAATAATTTTGTTTGAAATTGAAATAAATGTAGGATGCTCGAACTAGTTGTTAAAACTTTTATATAATTATTTTGATAGTTCAACAACATTATGTTCAGATGTGTCTAACTAAATTTTTATATTCTTCAGCAAAGCTGTTCTTTCTGTACAGTTCGAGGATTTTTCTTCAGCGAACTTTCTTACTAATAACGCGTGAGCTACGCATTGATCAATGAGCGTTTAACTTGTCGTCGAAAAAATAGTTTTCATAATTTAATTGGTTCTCCTTGTTAAAATTTAGGAGGGGAGGAAATGGCAAGCTTCTTCTGCCCCCCTTTGTGTAAATCCATATATTATTTAAATCTGTCAAAAGAAAGAAACTGCAACATATTTTTGTTGTTATTAATTACAATGAATTACGACTGATTATATGGAGTCCTTTATTTTTAAAAGGCAGAAAGAAAATTAACTGTTCTATATGCAAATTTCGCTCTTTTAATATCACGAATTCATGTTTGTACGTAATTTACCTTTCCAATGAATCACAAGCAATTCGTGAAAATAAAGTCACTGGAATCGCGTGTTGTGAATGAACTTTTTCAACCTCGCTCGAACGGGGTTCCGAAACTTTTTTTCCAACCGGTTTTCCACTATGACGCTTATACCTCACAGATTTTTTAGGTCGTAGGTCGCGATTCCCTGTCTTTTTTCAAGAAACTTTTGATTCCATTCAGTCGCCGTATAATTTCCCTCTGACCTTTTCGCATTCCACAAAGCAATTGTCGCGACTGTACGCGGCATTTATGCCGTTGCAAGGTCAAACGTAAGTGACGCATAATTGCGACGATTGTCGCATAATTGCGCAAATTATAAAAATTGCGATCAGTTTATTATTAATCTGCATCTATTGAGTGGGACTATAAGATTTTTCCCGCTAGATGGTGTTCAAATATTTTTCTAATCACTAATTAATAATTATTATCAAATACATGAAATGTATTTAATATACGTTCTAAAAGATAATTTCAACGCATAAGTTGACAATTTTTGCAATAGTTTGAAAACGAAAAGGAATAATATAATTCTTCAGTGCATAATGCTTTTTTATTTCCGCCAAAACAAGACTAATTAAAAAAAAGATATGTATTGTATACGAAGAAGATGACGTAACTGAACTCCCATTATGTGCCAGAAGTGATTTGTTAATTCAGGAGAAATAAATCTCGAAGATTCTTCACGCTCTCGTCAGCTAATCATTGATATCGACTTTATGAGAAAGAAGGATAATAAAGCTTATTGATAGATGACGAAAAGATGTCGAATAAAATGGTGTAGTATATTTGTCCAATTAAAGATATTTCTAACTAACGACATTTGAATTTTATTTTAAAAAAACGAACGATCTTATTATCCCACTATTATAAATCATTATATTATATATAATAAATCATTCGCCAACGTTGAAATTTAGAATAACACGTTAACACATTTATAGAGTCTTACGTATTAACGTTACGAATTTATACAATTCGAAAGTTTCCGACGTTTCATGTTAAAACGTCGGACCGAGTTCGTTTGGGTCTGAGATCGCAAAAGTACCGACGGTATCACGAGGTGCCAACTCATTTGGATCTCATCCCTCAGATACCCCAGGGTATAATCCGTTTGAATTACAGTCGTCAACCCCGTTGCCTCCAGACACGCCTTTACGATCCATTCGTCGAGAGATCGAGCACCTGTTAAAGGTTTCCAGGAAGGATGATGCCGCATTGGGATTATTCAAAATGCTGACCTCTTCGGACCGTGCGGCCGCGTATTCGTTTGCGTTATTTTGCCTTCATTGGAATTTATGATTTCGTAGCGAAAATACATATTTTGCGGTCGCTAAAAGCGTTCTCTGTTTATGTGAATTTTAATTCATAATATTTAACTACCTCTCGTTCGTCACATCTAAAGCATCGTGTCGAATTCCTATTATAATTCAAGATTATCCAGCTCAATTTTATCAAAATGAAATCACTTTGATTACGTTGAAAAAAAAAGTAAAATAATTATAGTCGAGAGCTCCATTTTTATGATTATTATTATAATATTATACGGGAAGAATGATTTTGTTGAAGCATCTCTATTTTTTTGGATCGTCAAAATATTATAATTATGTAGGAAACTCAAGTATGATGAACAATGAGTTTGACATTCAAGCAACCAGCTTGAGCATTCTACACGATTACTTTGATAGTTGAGAGAGAACAAAATAATATTTTTAACACAAAGTTACATTTTAGAATTATATTGTAAATATAATTATTATTACATTGAAAGAATAATTTTGTTGAACCATCAAAATAATTGTATAGAAAACTCAAATGTAATGAGTAATACTGCTAAAAACATTTTAGCAATCAGTTAAGTATTTTACGTGATTATTTTAATAGTCCAACAAACTTTATTTTCAGTATCTCGTTAAATTTTTTAAATACGTTAGCAAAACCGTTCTTTCCGTGTAGTAATAATAATTATATTTATAATTCTACCAAAAAATATAAAACTGAAAATGATTATAAATTATAGTTAAATTATGGTAATTGTAACCATTTTTTCTCTCAGTGTAACTTTAAACTCAGTGTAACTGACCAAAATAAATCCATTATTCACATTTCTTCTTCCAGTGGAATATTTTAATTTGCGGGAATATGTAGCAACTGAAAAATCTTTTGCACTATTTCCGCGAAAGCTGGATCATGAATATTTATACTTATCTGTCTTATTAATCAGCAGACGGGCTGGCAAGCAACGAGAGCTAATGTAAAAGCGTACGCAGAGGTATGGCTGTAAATTCTAGCGGAAAAAGCGCTATTATGTTCGGTATTATCGCGTCAACGAACCCTTTTCATCGTCTTACGGCCATCGTCGCCGCCTTAAAGCGCCCGTAAACATCCTCTTAAAAATATTCAGAAGTTGCTGTCGTTTGTCGACGGCTGCAAGCGGAGTCAAAGTGCGTCGTTATAACGCATAGTCGCTACAACGCATACAGCTTTCCTTTCTCTCGACCTCTCCTCTCCCTTTTTCTCCTTTTCACTCTTATTTCATCGTCTTCGTTACACTGCCATGTAACCGCGGTTTCGAAGGCTAAGTTGCTAAAGAGGGTGGAAAGCGGACGGGAAAAGGGCGCTCGCTGAAAGAGAGTGCGAGTGAGTGGAGACAGAGGGTCGTCACTGAAAGTTTCAAAGTTATTCCGAAAGTAAATACAGGTCGGTAGTAGTTATTGCATGTTTTATGTCGCACCTTTCTCAGAGAAAAGGCAAGAGAAATGCATCACGCGACGATAATCTTTTTTATTTTAAATTATTGTAACTATTTGAAACTATTCCGCTTTCCACCGATAGAAAACATGGAAACGGATTTCTCCGCTCGCGTTTCTCCATTTCGGTTCGAATAACACAGCTGAAAACTCATCACTCGTATAGGGTAAACTCGGGTATGATGGCCATAGTTTTTTAAAATGCAAAAAACATACATTTATTCTTGTTACTTTTTAACAATATTTGGGATATTACTTTCACTGAAGCTTAAAGTAACAAATACTATCGAAATTAAAGAGAAAATACTTAACGGAACTTTAATTTTATCAAAATATTACAAAGTATGCATTGGCCATCTTATCTGATTTTTAGGGAAAAGATGGCCATGATATTAAGAAAGATAGCCATAGTATTTATAAATAAATAGTGAAAATAAAAGCATCAATTGTAGGTCACTTTGCAATATACGTACTTTTATTGTGTATGTAATGTTGATTGTGGCAGCTTAACTGTAATTTATTATAGACATTATAACAGTTTTTATCAGACACGTGCAAAACTTTGCAGATAGTCGAAAGAAAGAAATATTAGATAATATTTATAATATTGTTATTTTGAACACAGTGTACTCATATGAACTACTGTAAATATTGATTATCTTTAAGAATGACTATAAAAATGTACTATTTATCAATTGTTGGAGAAATTATGGCCTATGGCCATCTTTTCCGTATATGGCCATAATACCCTAGTTTACCCTAGTTCTTATATTACGAATGAAAAACATGTACGTATATATCTAATAAATAGTTTTGTGTCTAATTCTATTTAACGGGATGACATTTCATAAAAGCTTGTTAAAAAAAATTGTAATCCCCTTGAAATTTCTAGTTTGGCGAAGTTTTTCCTCTCCGTTCATTTTTGAATTATAAATTTACTTGTATAAATTCATCTCTGAAAAGATTTCTTCCTTTTTCAATTTTGCGATAATATATGTATTATCGAGATATTAGCACAAGAAATTCAAATGTCAGATTAAAACAAATTTATTATTCATTAATTATGATATTTGTGCAAATGATGTAAAGGTATATTTCTATCAGCGAAAAATAGAGAGCGAAAAATCTCGTGAAAGAAGAGATATAACAATATTTCTATTGAAGGAGTTTGTAGATGATCCGAAGAAAACTGTCGAGAAAGCGGTCCATGAGCGTTGAGGCAAAATAATTGCTTCGCGATAATAAATCCGTTATTTGAAGAGGAAAATACGAACGGGAAACGATTCGATATGATATTAAAATCGCGCCTGCTTTGATCACCAATATCGATATCAACTGATTTAGTCTTCACACACATACATATACATTTTATATATCCGATTTGCCATGCGAAGAAAAAATATAATAGGAAATTCATTTATAGTAAAATGTACAAATGTATGATGCTGTGCAGTGAAATGCGATACAAAATGTAACGTGATCTTGTACATGTAATTTAATTATATTGTATTACAAGTATTTATTGTATATGTATACATGTATGTATGTGTAAATATTTGTAAAATAATTCTAAAATTACATTTACAATATCGTGTTACATTTTGTATCACGTTTCAGTATATTAGTTGAAGCTATATCCACATTAACGATTTTGTTATTATTAACACATTAAATCGTAAAGTATTAACACATAATCCTAAGACAATTAGTCATCGTTGCATCTAGATAAAATTATTTAAAAAACCTTTCTTTATGATTCATACCTCGTAATATCGAAATTCATAATTTTGGAATTATGTCTTTTAGCGAATAAAAATCTATCAAACAAAATTGTATAAAATTAAAATTTACGATTTGTTGATTTATCGATTTGTGTGCTCTCATCTAGCGGGTATAACCATCGCGACTGTCTATTTTACGAAGAACGGTCCTGAAGTATGATTTGGCTTTTAACGAGTGAAATGATAAGGAATGAACCGACAAGGATGTGGTAAGATAGGACGTGGAAGAGAGAAACAAAGGATAAGAGAGAGAGCCGCGATGCAGCTTTAGTCGACCAGAAGGTTCTTCTCAAAACTTCGAAATTTATTCCTGCGTTAAACGCCGCGCGTCTTGGAAAACTTACCGCGTGTTTGCTCGTAGCCTCCGACCGAAATGATTATGCTATAATAATGATATTGTTAGTTGGAAACGTGCCGGGACTGCTGAAGGACTGCCGGGGTTTGCTGCTTGAAAAAATAACAGGTAATGTTCGCTCTCGCCCGTGATGTAATTAATGCCCGTTTGGAAAACTTCACCTAGTACACACGCGCGTACTTTGAGAGAGGGTAACATTTTATATGCGATTTTCCCTAAAGTTATTTTATTCGTGTCGAAAACATTTGTTACATCCTTCTCTCAACGTATTATTTTCCATGAAATTTTATAAAATTTATCAAAATTTATCATGTACCAAATTATTTTTTCTAGCAATTCATTTAGATGTATAATTCCGACGAAAATTCCCGTAAAAAAATATTAGTGAACTCGAGATCAACATAATCGAATGGTCGTCATTTATTCGGTACAAGACAAGCGTTGTTAGCGAGACTACATAGCGTCTGTTACGTGCTAACTACCGTAATCTCTGATACGCCGAATGCATTTGTAAGGGGAAGCTAAGTGCGGTCCGAAGTTTAGAAAGTTAGTATCACGATATGTTCGCCCTGTTAGAAACGGCTTCACCATAACACGATGGCTTGACAAGATCGGGGGATGGGAAGGTATTAAGAACCAACATAATTATCAATTTACATGGATCGTCCGTCTAACTAAACATGGGGTTTAGTTAGGAACTGATAAATCATGTAAATGAATTTGAACGTGTATATTTTTTAATAATTACGTTGCTATATATATATATATATATATGATATTAATTGATTATGGCATATATCAATTATACGTGTACGCCTCGTCGACCGTTGTCGGATTTATTGCATTCAATCAAACGAATTTGATGTATATTCAACGGATATTTTTATGAATTCATGTGGATAGCGCGAAATAAAAATAGTTACTTTAATAAAGAGTATTAATAATTTTTTTATCTTGATTCTTTAATTTTCAAAAAGTTTACAAAATTTTTAAGTTAATGTTATAAAATTTTAATTCAGATTTCGTTTGTTTTTCCAGAACCGTACAGCCATATCTAAAGTAATCGGATTTTTTATTAATTAATAATTATCTAAAAAAAATAACACATTACTTTTTTAAAAATTTCTTGGAATTAGTTGTGATCCATGTGTGTATATTTTCTTGGAATTTATTGCGTAACTATATTTATACATGCCATGCTAGTATGACATGGTTTAAAAAAATAGGATTAAAGTCATAAATTGGCGATTTACAAAATCCTGACATCAAACCGATTAAACATATACGGATCACTTAAAGAAAAAAATTCGTAATCGAAAATCTTCAAAACAAGACTTAGAAATTGTGATTAAAAAAGAATAAAGACAAATAACACGTGAAATGCACCGCAAAAAAAACTATTAAAGAATTTACCAAAAAAAAATTGCAGAAGTCATGAAACAAACGTAATAAAATATTAAATAGTGATAATTTATTAATAAACAAATATATATTAATGAATTTTGTCGTATTTATTTTGATCTACATATTAAGAGTTAAAAAATTTAAAGGGTGCCTAGTAATTTTGGATATGGCTGTATGCATTCTCGATTCTGTTGAATGCAAGAAAGCTAATATCTGAGCGGTTTAATTACTTACGTTTTTATTAATGACGTGCAAGATTAAATGCCTGTAAAAATTTATAGCGAAGGAAGTTACGTGCGAAAAACTTTTTTGCGGACTGAAACAATTTGAAAAATGGACGAAACTTTCGTCGATAGAAAATTCACTCACCTGCACCATTAACGAGATCGCCACCAGCCCCTGACTTTTATGCTGTGCCTCGCTCATGTTGTGATACAGTTCGGCGTTAAAGCCATAGACTTGTATCTGCAACAGAAAACCACAAAGAAATTACTTCCCGGTGGAATTGTGCCGTGAGCATAATCGTATCTCCCGCAACGCGATCATGCCGACAAATTCCGTCCCCGCACGAACAAATTCTCTAGTTTAGAGTTTAGATTCCGGAACATTTCGTGCCCGACGACGCGACGTACCACGTCGTTTCCCCCCGTTTCACCATGCTTCTATCTCCCCTCGAGATCGACTCGCTACAATCACGTCTCTGGTCGACCATTGCCGGCTTTACTGCAACAATTAAACGACTAAACCCTCGATATATTAAATATTAAGTTTTCCATATAAAATGCAGATAATAAATAAAAATTCTTTATAAAAGACGTTAATGATTTTATGTATTTAGGAGATCAAAGTCTACAAAAATTATTTCTTTTACACCTTTTTGAGCAAAATCGGTCTCTTTTTAACATCGCCCTTTATTTATGTCTTAAGAAAAGTAAATAAATTCATATTTAAGTCTTTTATATCTTCTTGCCTTTATAAATTCTTAACTTTATATACGCTGGATATTGTTAAAAATTGAAGAAAACGATACAAGATTCCAGAATGTGATCTGCATGTTCGAGGTATATTTGGTTCCGTCTTTTATGCCCTGAATAAATATTCCAAGAATATTTATCGAACACGTACCTATTAAATCACATTCTTACGCGAGTATATAAATCTTCAGAGGCACCAAGATTCTTAAGCGCATACCATATGTGGATGCACTTTTCCTTTGACATTTTTGTGCGCCTTCTTACGTTAGAATCTTCGTTTTTAGTAAACGGAAATATTCTCTCATAGTATGCACACTTTTTGTAGAAATATTGAACTTTTGCGAGAGTAAAGTTTTCTTCGATACCTGATCATATCTCACTTTTAACATTTCACCTCTGCCTTCATATTTCCCGCATATATAAAATATAGATATATATTATTGTCACAACAAATGTTTTTTTTTTGTTGCGACTGCAACAAGATTTAATAACAAGGATCGCGACTTATTGTTTTAGAATAAAAATCTGCACGAATAAGTGTATGCAGGTAAGTCGCAAGATGGGATCTATCGCGTGCACAGGAGGGTAGCGTTCAGTTTATAGAGAAATGGAAACCAAGTCGCTCGTAAAATGTATCTTGTTTTTGGAACATACATCTCGTTTCGTGTCTCATTTCCTGCGAATGTCACATGCTATAAGTTTTGTATGCTGGATAAGGCGCGGAAAAGACACCGACGACGTGTACGTGTCTTTCTCGCGAAGAAAAGGATTTCGCCACGATCGCTTTTCTTTACAATATTTTCTCTCTCCCTCCTTTTCAGCCCCTCCTTCTTTTCACCCTCCCCCCCTCTCTCTCGCTCTCTCTTTCTTATAGTTCCCTCTTTATTTTCCTACCATCCTGTCCTTCTTTACTGTATCCGGATATCTGTTTCTTTCTGCAGGTAATGGTATTGCAACGGCACTTCCGGTTGTGCCTAAGGCATCTGAAATGTCCGCGACGCGCGAGTTCTTCTTCAAAGACGCCAGGATATGCTGCTACGGCGCGACAGATAGGGGCGAGGAAGGATGTGAAGAAGGAGGGATACGGGGATAAGAGAACGATGTGAGAAAGAAAAAGATAAGACGACGCGACAAGGAGAAGCGGGAGGATTGCTGAGAGTGAGTGTAAATCCACTGCGTCTGATCAAAGTACGACTCGTACTACTAGGAATAGGAAAGATTCCCTCCTTCTCATTTTCGTAAAATTCTTCCGTACACCGACTGCTCCCCTTTCTTCAGTACAGCGTCCTCTCATCGTTTCTGCCTTTTAGCAGGATATATTTTTCTCTTAGTGACTTCTTCACTCATCGAAGAAGGAATTTCTCTCGTTCTTTCCTTCTCACTTTTTTCATCATGCAATCAAAAAAATTGTACATCGTTTCAAATGCGATTTTGTTTCAATTAGACGAAATTAAATCTAATAAAAAATTTATTATAATCTATTTTTGCTCTTCAATTTTCAAATACGAATACACTTTTCGTAATTTCATTCTCGCTTGTCGATATTGTATCAATAAACTATCATGTATACCGATGATAGCCCATTTGATCGAAATAGAATTTTGATTCAAAAATTGTATATCGTGTTTCAAATGCAATTCTATTTCACACAAATAGATATAATTAAATTCAATCAAAAAGAAAATTCTATTTCGATTAGACGAAGTATCATAGATAGATGGCAGTTTATTAATACAATATTGATATGACAAGAATAAATTAAGGGAAGTGTATGCATATTAATAAGTTTTGAAAGACATGTAATAATATTATGCCAGATATTTAAATCGATTCTTCTATTTAAAAATAGTCCATAATATTGATAAAAAATAAATACTTGTTCTCATTGAGATCATTCCGCTAACTACACATTTATGCGCTTTTATGTGTCGATTAATTTTTCTTTAATTTGCTCATTTCCTATTATCCTAATTTGAGCCTCTAAGATAAACATAATAATGAAACTGGAAATGAAGTTAATTCCATCGACCTAACTTTCCAACAAGGAACTTAAGAAAGAAGAAATTATGTGAATCAGCAAAGTGACTTATTTCGACGTTTGATTGACGGTTTTTACATGCAAACTGAAAGTTTCAATATTTATCGCGGGTAAACAGAAGTGGAAGTTAGGTACGAAAACAGCAGTCTGTGGAGAGTTCAGAGAGCATTCATTCAAACTTCATGAAATTTAATGCACGAATATATTTCAAGACTCTACGACTGATTTTATAAGGAAAATCAAGTATTTAACTACAATTTTTATCAATATATTCTAAGCAATAAAATTTAATCACTTTAATTATACGTATTGATTAGCTATTTAAAGATTTTATATTATTAATACTCAAGCCTTTAAAAAATTAGTATTTTTATCTCTTTTTTCTTAAAGTATCTGATAATAAATTTAAAGATTTGCAATTACAAATTTTACATGTGACACGAATAAATTTATAATTAATTGCATGTCAGAATAAATTCCAATTTATTAAAGTTAAAATAGTTGAATATTTTTTACTATTGATAATGTTAGTAGATAGGATTCTCTCCTAGTAACCTTTTTCTTTTAGGTCATCTTGTACTACCAGTCAATAAGACCGAAGAGAAAAATAATTGTTATTAAGAAGCATTCTATCGACAAATCAGCTTTCAGTGTGCTCATTATATTATCGTTGATACAGATCGTAACAACTTTACTCTGAGTATTATAAAGTCACATTAAAAATATCTTTCACGTTTTAAGCCCCTTTCCTTTTATCCGAAATAATTTATACAACATACAAAATTCCGTTTTGTATCGAAATATCGAACACGAGCATACTAACTTAATGTTAGTAAAATAGTTTTGTGCTAAAGGCTATGTAAGAATTACATAACGTTTTAAATTTATTACGCAAGAATGAGTAATAAAACCTGTTACGTGTACATAATTTTTGATATAAAGTATTTGTTAAGAAAGAAGTAGAATAGTCCGTGTGACAAATAAAAGACATTCCACTGACATTCTTTTACACGGTTTTCAGGCACGAGTTTTTATTCAGAAATACGACGTGCCTCCCTTCGTCCTTCCATTATCCCAAGCCGGGATAAAATTCTGCGGCTCTTATCTACACGGCGATCCCGAAATTCGTTGTCACGGGCGACCAAAATCCTACTTGACGACCGAGCCAAGGCGGTATATAGCCAAGCTTTCTGAAATTTGCTACGCCCTGGAAATTCGGAATTCACCGCGGGTAACCCGCGAAGTGCCGAGCTGGCCCTCTCTTCCTCTGAGCACCTTCACTTCACGTGTACCATCCGATCTCGACGTATCTTCTGCACTCTGCCTCTCATCCCGACCCGATGCCTCCTTTACGACCGCCTTCTCGTGCTTTACCCGCCACTTTGCCCGCCACTAGAGCATAATCACCACCCTCTACGAAGACTACGACGAGCCCGCAAACACAGCCGCGCATTCAGTAAACGCATTATCCTCTCTTTAAGCGGTCTCGACGACAGTCTCCCTGAAGATAATTTTTACGTGCATCTGAAGTTAATCGTCGTCGGGGAACGGATTAACAAAAAATACTACGTGTACTAACTTCATGAAGAGGTGTCATTTATATATATCCTTACGATATCCCACTTGAGCAAAAGTAATATAAGTAATTTAAGTAATATAATTTGCCGTAAAAATAATGTTATTGTATTTCTGTTTCTCAATATCTGAATGATTGATTCTTATGTATTTTTAGCTATTGAAAAAGAATATAAAGTTAAAAATGGTTCCATCGCCTACAGATTTTAAGAAATCAATGATTCACTTTTTAAAAACTCTACAAATAATTTATAACTTTTTTTCTTTTACTTTAAATGTGTGCTAATATTATTTTATTTTAATACCACTTAAAATTGTATATGTAATATAATAAAAAGGTTTCACCATCACATTAATTTTCATATATTGTAAAAAGATATTTAAATTTCTTATACTGCATTAATTATACCACAAAACTTATTATACATAAAAAATTCAAAGTAGAGTTTTTAAAAATTGAAGAATAATGAAACTTTTTAAAAGGCATATTCTTTTTTTTTTTATATAAAAATCCAGTAAAAAATATCTGTTGTTGAGAAACAAAAAGTTATTCCACTGTGTTATTTATCATGTTGTATGTAAAGAGAGGAATCGCCCAATTTTCGATATATATCATTAAAATAATTTTACGTGAAAAAGAACGCGAGTAATTGGACAAGTCTTAGTTTTTAAAAAGCTTTTTACAGTTTACATATTGAATATAGCTAGTTTTAACGAATATGCAAGTTTTTATATCTCTAAATATAACTGATTTAATTTTGCGCTCCACTATAACTGCGCTTGATTATTATTTGCTCTGTACGATTTTCTTTTGATATTGAATATGCAATATCAGATTTATTTTATGTTACAGTAATTCGATACGACACATTGTACAT